CTTCAGCAGTTCAAGTGGAGGCTCATTAAGAGTTTCCTCGAGGGAATTAACAACATGCAATATATGTTAGCCTTGCCAGCAACATCCACCTGACATGAATCAAAAGGAAAAATTCAAAAACTGATCATTCATCGCAATTTCATAAAATTCCTATCCGAATACTGGTTTTGGAATTCTTAAAAACCTACCGCATATGCATTTTAAAACCAACCACAATTTGTTCACGTGTCAGTCAACAGATTATGGGCAAGGTCATTTAATTACTGCATCTGAATATAATTCAAGGACTATTTTATTTCATGGATTACAGATTCTCACTTGTGGTTATGGAATGGCATATTATAACTGTCTAATTTTCTCAGAGTACAGCAATTTAGTGGCTATGGGAATTACAGGCAGCTCAATGTTCCAGGGTTTAGATGTTTCAGGCGTGATAGAGAAGAATGTAAAAGGGGTGGGGTGTTTTGCAATACTTACGCAGGAGAATGTCACAGCTATACCAAGGACATCTTGGAGGGCTCATCTAGCAAGCCAATATGGGTAGAATTTAGGAATAAAAAGAAGTGTAATCACTATAGGCCTCTCAATAGCCAGCGGGAATTAGAGGAATGGATATGTAAACAGATCATGGAAAGATGTAAAAACAGGACTATGGTAGGTGATGATTCTACTCCCCAATATTCACTGGGACTCCTTTATGCCAGTGGATTAGATGGGGCAGAATTTGTTAGGTGCACCCAAGAGGGATCATTGAAACAATGTGTAGATAGTCCAACTAGAGAGGGGCCAATATTAGACCTTGTATTTGGGGATGAGTCTGGCCAGGTGATCGAAGTTTTAGTGGGGGAGCATTTTGGGAACGGTGATCATAATTCCATAAATTTTAAGATCATTCTGGAAAAGGATAAGACCAGTCCTCAGATGAAAGTGCTAATTACAACAGTATTAGGCAGGAACTGGGAAAACAGGATTGGGAGTAGCTATTTGAAGGTAAATCCATATCTGACATGTGAGAGTCTTTTAAATACCAGTTGATGAGTTCCGGACCAGCATGTTCCTGCCAGGATGAAAGATAAGGATGGTGAGATTCAGGAATGTTGGATGATGACAGATGTTGTAAGTTTACTTAAAAAGAGAAAGGATGAATATGTAAGGTTTAGGAAACAGAAATCAAAAAAGGCCCTTGAGGAGTACAAAGGAAGTAGGAAAGAACATAAAAAGTGAAATTAAAGAAATTAGGAGGGCTAGAAGGGGCCATGAAATTTTCCTTAGCCACAAAGTCTCAGAAGGCTAAAGAATAACCAATGTTGTTCCTTTGTTAAAAGGAGGGCAACAGAGATAATCCAGGAAATAATAGGTCGGTAAGCCTTTTATCAGTGGCAGGGAAATTATTGGAGAAGATTCTTCAGGGCAGGATTTACTTACATTTGGAGAAGAATGGACTTATTCAGGATAGTCAACATGGCTTTATGCAGGGAGGTCTTGTCTCACAAATGTGGTTGAATTTTTTGACAAAGTGACAAACATGGTTGACGAGGGTAGGGCAATGGGTGTTGTCTACATGGACTTTACTAAAACATTTAATATGGCCGGTCATGGGAGGCTGGTCCAGAAGATCAAATCACATGGAATCCACAGGGAGTTAGCAAGTTGAATACAGAATTTGCTTGGCCAGAGAGCAGTTGTAGAGGGGCATTTTTCTGACTGGAGGTCAGTGACTAATGGTGTTCCGCAAGATTCAGTACTTGGACCTCTGTTGTTTGTAGTGAAAATGTTTGGATGAAAATGTCAGGATGAAAATGTCAGTGGTCTAATTCATACGTTTGCAGGTGACATGAAATTTGCTGGAATTGTAGACAGTGAGGAAGGATATCAAAGGATGCAGCAGAATATAGATCAGCTGGAAAGTTGGGCAGAGAAATAGCAGATGAAGTTTAATCTGGATAAGTGTGAGGTGATGCATTTTGGAAAGTCAAATGCAAAAAGGAAAGTATTCTGTTAATGGCAGGACCCGTAAGAGCATTGATATATAGAGGAACCTTGGGGTGCAACTCCCTCAAAGTTGCAACATAAGTGGACATGGTGGTAAAGAAGGCATACGGCACGCTTGCCTTCATCAGTCAGGGCACTGAGTGTAAACGTTGGCCAGTGTTGCAACTGTATAAGAATTTGGTTAGGTCACATTTGGACGACGGAGTGCAGTTCTGGTCACCACCTTATAGGAAGGATGTGGAGGCTCTGGACAGAGTTCAGAAGTGGAACGTATTAGCTATAAGGATAGGTAGGACAAGCTTGGGTTGTTTCCTCTAGAGCATCAGAGACTGATGGGGCAACCTGATAGAAGTATATAAAATTACGAGAAGCATGGATAGGCTGCATAGTCAGTCTCTTTCGCAGCATGGAAATGTCAAATACTAGGGGCATACGTGTAAGGTAAGAGGATGAAAGTTTAAAAGGAAATGTGCAAGGAAAGTTCTTTTTCCCCCCACACGGAGTGGTAGGTGCCTGGAATGCACTGCCAGGGGAAGTGCTAGAAGTAGATACAAGAGCAAAGTTTAAGAGGCATTTAGACAGACACATGAACAGGCACAGAATAGACAGATATGGAGCAGATGGGATTAGTTTAGAATAACATCATGGTCGGCACAGGACATGGTGGGCCAAAAGGACTTTTACTGTGCTGTATTATTTTATACTCTACGGTCAATAAGAACGTTAAAACTTTACTACACTGTGGTCATTTCAGTATTTCCTTCTTTGGCAGTCCCTGGGGATTGAGGATGATTTTCTTCCACTCTGGTGTTGCGGGTTCGGATGTGGCTAAATCATTCAATGCTGGGTCTGCACACTCTGCTACAGTGGATCAGTTAGCGTTTTAAGTGGAAGATGGTAGGAAGCTCAGGCTTTCATACATTCCTCCTACATTTGCACCTCACTTCCATTTGGGCATAAGAAGGACGCTCGAAATGACTGGCACCTTTGCGGATTCATCTTCTCTTGGGTAGTCTTGAGCTAGAGATTCCCACGGGTCAGTGGAATACTGAAATTTATCAGGAACACCTAAGGGACTGGTTGAAGTGTTTCCTCTGTTGCTGTCAGCTTGCCATGACAAAGTCCAAAGCAGAAAGTTTGATTTGGAAGTCTTTATTCAGGGATGCAAATGATGTGATCCACTCAAGACAGGTGACTGAATGTAACCACTGCTTCAGTACTAGGGATGCTGGCCTAGGAGAGGATTCTGATACTGAAGCACTAAACTTGCTGTTGGATTTGCAGGATTTTGAAAAGATATCACTGGTGATATTTAAATCGAGGGAGTTGAGGTGTCTGTTGTACAAGTAGTCCATCTAATACAACTTTTAGTGGAATTTTTTTTCAAATTTGAAACAAAAAACTGTCATCATCAAGTTCACACAGAATCATGAATAGAAATCTATCCTGAAAGAGTCATGCAACTCCGCAAAGGGAAAAAGAAACTATTACAAGACATAGTCAAAACTAATAAAACTCAAAACGTACAAGACAATTTAAATTCTGAACTTGAGACTGGATGTTGGATTGCTTACAATACCAATATTTCTCCAGCGCACAGTACAAAGCTATTTAAAAATGTTCTGAGTTTAGTGCATTTTTGTTGTGATTAGCACAGTAAAATGAAAAATAAATGGTTGAAGCTTGAATATTCACAGGTACCAGAAATTTCCATTGGATTTCTTCACTGGAACAGATCTTGATATTCAAGCAGAGTAATCAAGTCATCAAACCAAACCAGAGAGTACCAACCGTACAGAACTTTAGTTAGACCACATTTGGCATATTGTGTACAGTGCTGGTTGCTACGCTACCTGAAGGATTTGGAGGCTTATGGAGAGAGTACAGAAAAGATTTACCAGAATTTTGCCTGGTTTGGAGGCTATTCGTAGGAGGTGAGATTGGACAAATTTGTTTTGTTTTCACTAGAAAGGTTGAAGCCTGAGGGATGACCTGATAGAACTTTACAAAGTTATGACAAGCATGGATAGAATGGAGTCAGAGTCTTTTTTCCAGGGTAGAAAAGTCAATTACTAGGGGACATAGGTTTAAGATAAAGGTTGTAAGTTTAAAGAAGATGTCAAAGGCAAGTGTTTTTTTGCACAGAGGGTGGTAAGTGCCTGGAATGTGCTATCAGAGGAGGTGGTTGAAGCGGAATACAATAGCAACGTTTAACAGGCATGTTGACAGATATATAATTGAGAGATACAGACCCTGTGGAGACAAAGAGTTTTTAGTTTAGAAAAACACCATGTGTTGGTGCAGTCTTGATGGGCTAAAGGGCCTGCTCCTGTACTGTATTGTTCTTAGTTCCTAATTAGGGAAGCATAAATAGGATGAGAGAAAATAGAAGGGGCTGAAAGAGAGAATTAATGAAAAAGAGATTGAGAAAGAGAAAAGGAAGAAAAGGAAAGTTAGAGATATTAGAGTTTTCAAACTCTGACAAGTCATTGGTTATCTTTTTTAATCTGCTGATGCCAATAGTGCTCACCAGATGTAAAGATATGTTCACGCACAGATGTGGAACATTATCTACTAGAGCAGCAGCATCAAGCTGACATCCTTTATATTATTATCAACTCAAGGGTAAGAAGTGGACCATCTTGAGAGAGGACAGAACAAAAGTGGATGATGCCAAAAATGCAGCTATACATGTTGAAATTAAGAACTATAATCGAGGGGCACGATCTCATACAGAGTCTGCATTAAATTCTCAAAGAACAGATATTGACTCAGTTTTGCATTACATCATATTGCAATAATACTGAAGTAACCTTCCAGGTTAGTTCATTTTCCTTCTGCTTTCAATCCACATGCCAATTCTGCTACCTGAACAGCAATAGATTAGGTGGTCAATAATAAAACATCTTTACACCTCGAAATAGTATATTAAAATTGGCTTTGGTCCTGTATCTCATATTCCAGCAAAGAATATAAACACATACCAGTGAATGCAATGTTAGACTTACCTGAAGTGGCGAGTCGCAAAGGAATCTTGTATACTGTGTTTATCAAAACGCCATTAGTAGAATAGGGAACAAAAAGAAGAAAAATAAATGTTAGTTCTTACAAGAAGGAAGTTGCACTTAGTTGTGAGCATTAAACTATTATTACTACTAACAATTCTATTCAACTCTTCCATAATTTAGTTTCCATGTTTTTATAATTTATCACAAAAATGCATATTATTAAAGCACAGCTGCGTATTACAATAAATCTGACAGTTTATATTTTACACTAGCTGTTTAAAATTCACATTAACAACTCAATTAAGCAGGATTCCTCCTCCTTCCTCCCCAAAGCACTACAGCCCCACCCCAATAACCCCCAAACACAAACAATTTCCTACACTACTTTTACAACAGCAAAATATCGTGATAACTTGTTTGTGATGAAGATGCAACATTCCACTTCAAGACAACTAACACAGTAAGATCATGCCTTCAACCACATTTTTAAAAACATTTCTGCTTAAGGGTTTTTAAGAAAGAATATTCCTCATTAAAAACCAATATCCTAAATAGATTGTAACTTGTTTTGAAAACCAATGAAGCAGAGAACCAGAAAGGATTTCTTTTTTAAAAGAACAGTGTGATATTATAACCGTAAAGCCGATTAAAAGAGTCTGTAGATATTATAGAAGCACTACAAAGTTAAAAGTTGTTTTATTGATATTTTTAACTTTACTTTTGGCCTATATCAATGTATTATGATGGCAACCTTTCATCCACAAGAGATAAAAGACACTGAAGAAATAAACAATTTTGGGGGTAGTAGGAACTGCAGATGCTGGAGAATCTGAGATAACAAG